GTGTGTGGCATGGTGTGTGGCGCAGGCAGGGAGGCGCAAGGGGCCCCCGGCAGCACGGAGCAGCAGGTGCCGGAGGGCAGCGGGCCAGGTGCCGTTCTCGCCGCGCTGCCGCCAGCAGCCCAGCAGCCCAGCCATCCCCTCCCCTCCCCTCGCCTTCCTCTCCCCTGCCATACCCTGCCCGCCCGCCCAGGCCTGCCCAGGCCCGCCGCACCTATGGATCCCACGCTGGACCCCGCCAGCACCCTGGGCAGCATGCCGTGCTCCAGCAGTGCTTTGACCACGCCCAGGTGGAAAGCGCCCAGGGAGCCGCCGCCGCTGCAGGCGCGGCGCGGAAGCAGGCGGGCAGGGGCGGAGGGGGCGCGGGTGTGAGGTTGTGAGGGAGGGAGGGTGTAGGGAGGGGCACAGGCGTGTGCGGACAAGGGCGAGGCGGGTGGCAGGCGGGCGGGGCGGCTGACTTGCTGGCAGCCCGGCAGCCCACACACTCCTGGCGAGGGCCCCTGCCTCTGTGCACGCTCACTCAACAAGCTGCGGCCAGGCGTGCCCAGCCCCCACCCCCGCCCGCCAGCCCCTCGCGCCCCCACCTGAGCACCAGCGCCGTGCGGCCAAAGGCGTGGCGCGTCTCTTTCAAGAAGGCAGCCTTCTCCTCGAGCGGAAGGTCTGCGGGGGGAGGCAGGGGGGGACGGGGCACGGGGCAGGCGGGCAGGCATAGTGAGGCGGTACGGCACGTCGCGCCAGGCCGGCGGCGCAGGGCGATGGGGAGGCGGCGCAGCGGGGCGCGCCTCCTGCCTGCCCAGCAGTGCCGCTGGCGGGCCCGCCGCTCGCGCGCTGCTCACCCGGCGAGTTTGTCACCTCCTCCAACTGAGCCTTCACCTCCTCAATGTAGTCCCGGATGGGCTCAGGGATGACGGGGAAGTGCTCGTGCAGCGCGCTGCGGCAGGGAGGCGGCAAAGGGGGGGCAGGGGTCACAGGCGCGTGCACGCGGTGGGAGCAGGCCGGGTGGGGACAAGCAGCGGTAGGCAGCCCAGCTGCTGCTTCCCAGCCGGCCCGTCCCTCCCGTGTGCTCGCGCCTGTGAACACTGCCCCCCCTTTGCCGCCTCCCTGCCGCAGCGCGCTGCACGAGCACTTCCCCGTGATCCCTGAGCCCATCGGGGACTACATTGAGGAGGTTACGCA